CAGCAAAACAGCACAACTCTGAAAGTCTCTGTGTATATAAGAATAATCTGTGAGAAGTAAGTAGATCCTTTACTCCCAAAACAGAAGCTGCATGTTTCTTTGATTCAAAAGAAACTCGCAGACAAACTAAATATATTATACATACATGGACACCCTCTGAATGAAGTGTATCCAGTCTCCGAGCAGTCCTTTGAATCATGTCATCGGAAGCTAGTCCAACCAAAACATTTGTAAATCTGCACTTCAATGAAATCCAAAACTTAACACCACTATCCCAGTTCTTAGCAACTAGACACTTTAGATAATCACACTACTAAGGCACAAGAATTCTATCTGGATTCACGAACCGTCCACATTACAGTCACATACTCCCTGCCCTGCTCCCATATATTTTTCAAGAACTGGATGCTTGGTAAAGCATATTAAAGTAGAAGGAAAAGCAGAAAAAAAAATCAAAAACAGGTAAAGCATATTAAAGTTCAATCTTTACCCTGCTGCCAATTCTGCAGCCTTGTTCACGCTAGAATCATGCAAATTCTTCACCTCATCAGTACTGTCTGCAATGCCAGTCTCAACTTTCTTCCCTTTTCCTGACTCTGTATTACTTCCATATACTTCAGAACTCAAGTCAAAAATCTGGTGAACCTCTTTAAGTTTTCCATCATATGAAGACCTTTGATCAGATGGAAGCTTAGCTTTTCTTCTGTTGAACAACAAAGCATAATGGTTGGACAATGCCTCCAGCTCCTGCGTGTAATTCATATGATTAGACAAGGGATTTACGGGATGAACTCAACTAGGTATTGGATCAGTATGAGTAGGAAGTGACCTCCAACTGCTCCGGACCTCCATAAATATAAAAGCATCTATCAAAAGTAACTTCCTCATAAAACTGATCCTCGTCTGTTTTTCCTCCCCCTTCTTTGGTGTTTGGGTCAACTCCAATACCAGTTTCTGAGATCAGAAGATCCATAGTTTCTTTTCCAAGTAGCTCAAGTGCATGCATCCCTTTGGCAGTAAAAGCTTTTCCAGTCTGCAAGAAATTGCCCAATATAAACTGCACACTAAGGCACACTCCCCCTGCCCAAAAAGATAGAAAATCAAATTTGTGCAAATGGCAAACCTCTAGTATGGATGGTGCTGCAGAACCAGTTGTGGCAGGTAAGCCACCATGCTGAACTGATTCAGCAATACTTAAAGCCGATTCCTCAAGCCTGAAAATATAAAACAAAATATCACTTCTTTGGCAATTTTGGCATTACTAAACGAAGGAATAACCAGGTAATGACTCAAAACTGGTTAACTTTGCAGGATCACAGCGTTCTCATGCTTAACCAGGAGGTGCTTATTTTTCCATGTTTCCTAACAGTTGGAGTTTGCAACTGCTTTTCTTAGTCCAGAAATATGTAAGCACAAAATTTGTTTTATTCCAGTCATTTTTCCACCTTAATTTGCCGGAGGGAAACAACCTCTTTATCTCCACAAGATAGGGTCTGCGTACACACTAACCTCCCTAGACCCCACTGTGTGGGATTAAGGTGGAAATTTCACCAAATTAATGTGTCAAAATCATAGAAGTTTATACTATGCAGCATAAAATTAAAGCACAATGTAATATATAATTCAACAGATGTCCAACCAAAAAGAACTCCCTAATTATCCCCTGACAATCAGCTTCATAAAGTACAGCATTGTTTCTCAAGCACAAGATGAGCAACTGCTTAAACAAAATCTAAAAACTTGGCTCCGAAATAGCTGGATAAACACCTCTCTGAGGTGAAGGTTTCCAAGAGCACAACTAGAAAAAGAATCATGTTGCAATCGTATACAAGCAGATATACATACTTGTGGACTAAATCGGAACCTCCTTTGAAGGCGTTTCCTAAAGCTTGCCAAGCTCCTGAAGCGAAATTCTCGACTGAATGGTCAATAACTTTCAAACCCTGCACATAGTTTTGGAAGGTTAAAAGCATGACCATACCAAACAATTTTAGTATATCTACTTCTAACCTTAAGATACTTCTGTAGAGATTTAGCAAAAATAGGGGTGGAATGTTTATCAATGCTCAAGAAGAACTTCCGTTAACAGTTGGAGCACCTACTGAGTCAACTAAGCAGCACAACAACTAGTTTGGTAGCACTTGCCTGGCCAAGAATTGAATCTTCACTAGCTTTCTCTAATTTTTCTAGAGCAGCCTTGCGTTTTTTGTCATTCTCGTCTTCACTTTCCTCTTCGATCATTACTTCTCGCTCATCCTCTTTCGAGGATTTGGAGTCTTCTGAAGCATCCTGCACATCTGCAAGGCTTTTTGCAGCTATTTTAGCCGCTTCAACAGCCTGCATAAGTGAAAACGTATATAAATATAGCTGATGGAGGCAATGAAGGTTTATGTTTAAGTGTGTTTCCCTGCCATAACCACAAAAGAACAAGTAACCTGCACTTGTCAAAAGAAAGTCGAGACATTAGAAGGGTGAGAACAGGAATTATATCAACGAAAGTTGAGTTCTGAAAAGTTTATTAATCTGAAGGCTTCAACTCATTTTGTTGATCTGGTGCCCTACAAAGTGTAGTCCTACAGAAAAACTGAAGGTGAA